CACGTCTTTGCTTGGTCTCAGCTCTTTGCACTGGTTCTGATTTCATGAAGACCTGAATCATCCTGAAGCTATTATGAAACATTTCGACTAGAGTTTCAGCCTAGGACAGATGGAGGAATTAACTCAAAAGACAGAAGAGCCTTAAGCAGCCTTCTGTTAGGCAGTGGCCATCCCATCAACGTGATTTCAGGAAAAGCTCTTGCACAGAAAACATCAATATGGTTAGCAGATCAGCGGGGCCATAGTCAGCAGAGCCTGGATTCTGCTGGGTTAAGGTTTCAGTGAAAGGCCATAAGATCTGATTTCCTCCCTGTCTGACCCAGTCAGGTAGAGCTTGCTGGCTGCCTGCGATTGCACCCCATTGGCACCTTACCATTGCCTTCTGGCTGCTCCTCCAGTTCATGTACAGTTTCCTAACCTGCTCCTGACCTGACATGTCTCCAACCTTTCCAGGGCTTCACAGGATGCATAAAGACCTGGATCCCAGTGAAAACAGAGGAGATATTTCCCCTTGAACTCTGTAAAAGTATAGTGACTTTACCTCTATTTTCTTTTTCCCTTTCTTCTTTTCTTTTTCTTCTATGTATGCTTTCTTGGAGTTCTTTTTCTTTTAACACATATTTAGATCAGAACCCTGACATTCTAGTGATCTAAAAGTTACTTTACTCTAGTATTAAATATGTACTTCATTTCATGAATTTTTCCCAGGCATGTGAACTAACCATTTCAAAGACTCAGATGCATATAAAATTAATAAACCTGAACGTGGTTTAGTAGCACAACCATGGTAAAATCTACAAATTGAAATCCCTGTTGTAGCCCAAACATCTTTTACATATTAAAACCATATGGGCAATATATGGTGGCTCATGCCTTTAGTCCCAGCACTCAGAAAACAAAGGCAGATGGATCTCTGTCAGCTCAATGCCAATGCCTGGTCTACATAGTGAGTTCCAGGACACCCAGAGCTACAGTGGATTTCCTAACCAAATAAACATTTGTCCTGTAGTGAGTGGCTTTAGTACCAGTGTAAAGAGCAAGTTCAGATGTTCTTAAGTCCCCTGTATTAAGATAACAGCAAAAGGTCAACGGTTAGGGGTCTGTGGACCTATCCTGACAAAAAAGAGTGGGCAAGATTTAAAGTAAAGATCAAAGGTGTGGGGTGGGGGCAGGAGAAGCCCCTGCAGGAGAGGCAGAGGTGGGAGTGGGGGATTCAACAACTGTGGAATACCTGATATATGCCAAAGGTCGACTGCTTCCTTCACGTCTATCAGTTCCTTAAATCTCACGTTTACTCTATGAGGAAAGGAGGTTCCCCTCTTAAAGATGGAGAAACTGGTTCATAGGAGTGCCTGTGAGTGGTCTGGTACAATAGACCCTATTTATCTTATTCTCCATTGCAGTTCTGTGATTTTGCACTGTGCTCTATGCATAGACAACATTTAATTAATATGTGTTACATAAACAACCTGCCCTGTCTGTTTTCCTGATGAGGTCCACTCAGAGCAGATGGTGCCAGACTTTAATAAGATGTTAACTAATTAGGGGTGCTCTGTCTCCTTTGAGGCAGGGGATCATCTATAAGCCTCCAGTTCCCTGATACAAATCAGGACCACATGCTCTGTCCATATCTTTGCATTCATCTGAGAAAGTTGCTCTGGGGGTCAGGTGCCCAGATCTGCAGTCCAAGCCCTACAATTGGCATGGCTGTCTTTCCTCATGAATTTTCTCCAAATAAGACAATCATAATACAGCCAGTGTCTTTCCTTCATCTGCCTTACTACCCCCCCCCACCAAGTATCTTAATGATAATATTGTGTCCTATGTCCCCACAAACATGTGATAGGAGCATTTGGAACAAATGCAGGTCCTTAAGAGGATTATAATACTATTAGTTTTGATTTTACATTTACATTAGTCAAATTAATTCCTTCTGAGCTCAGATTTACATATATTTCACAATTGCTATAACAAAAAACAGAATATTTTCATTTTCTGTTCTGATTTAGTTAATTACATATCTTTGTAACTAGCAAAGAGATCGCTTCTCCAAACATCTGAGAAGTTGAGGCAACTACAGAATTAGAGTGCATGATTAGCAATTTCTTTGGAATTAATACATTGAGCTGTTATTGCTCCTTACCCACGTCAGTATACATACACATTCAGATACTCCTCTACCCTACCAACCCTCCCCATTGCTCCAAGTCTTATATACCATGTATTAAACTTTCTGTTTTGTTTTTGTTTGTGTTTTGGGAAAATGTTGACTGAGAAAAAAATGAACAAACTAGTATAAGGAATTCTCAGACTCCCCAGTATTAATATTTAACCACAGTAGTGACTTCATTGTTCTTGTTTCTCTGTCTCTCTCTGTTTACAATAGATAGACATATAAACAGATAAATAAATAGATAGATGATAGATAGATAGATAGATAGATAGATACATACATACATACATACATACATACATAGATACATAGATGGTAGGTAGATGTATACACGAACATTGAAAGTAAACATTTGCTAACAAATGTTTATAAACATCCTGCCCTTTAAATAACTCAGTATGGTTTTCCTTTAAAAAAAGACTCTTCCCAGATGGGCATGATGACACATTCCTATAATCCTAGCATTCAGAAGATAGAAGCAGGAGGATTAGGAGTTCAAGACCAACCTGTGCTACACAGCAAGTTTAAGGCCAGTCTGGGATAAATTAGACTGCCTCATGTGTTTTTCCTTACAGTTCTACATTACAACTACCAACACCAGGAATTTAAAATTGACATAACTGATAGAATACTATTGCTCATGTGGCAAAATTCATGTTGTCAAACTGATTCGCTCTTATTTTATTTTTATTTATTTATTTATTTTTAAATTACACTCATGATATTAATCACATTTGTGGTATTCATAGATTACATTTGCAGTATTCATTCAAATATATATATATATATATATATATATATATATATATATAATTTTAAATGTCGAATGTCATTTCTTGAAGGGGGTAGGAGGGCTTAAATACAGGCTTAAATATAGGCACAATGGGAGGACCCCAGAGGGCAGAAGTTCGCTACTGATGTTTTACAATCTTGCATCTAAGCTCTTAACGCCCATTATTCAGGATACACAGACAAGGAACTTCCCTTAATATTCAGGAGCATGGAACCTGGCAGGGAATTAGCATTGGGAGGATATCAAGGTCAAGGTCTGCAAGCAAGGCAACAGTTACCCAAAACGGGGGCCAGGGCCCTGCAGGTCCCCCTTTTATTAAAAAATGAGCTTCTGACTTGGGTTGCATGGGACGTCAGCAGGTCACCTTACCCATCCATCATGGAGATGCCTGCCCAGGCCACACAGGTGCTCTGTCTTAGGTTGGTGAGCGCCCCCCCCCCAGGCATTACCCATCTCTGAATACTCATTATCATACCGGCTCAATCGTGTGTGAGCTGCATAGTTAATTGCTGCCAAAGATCTCAAAGTGGCACTGGGCTTGCAATCTGTGTGTTCGATACAGAAAAGACCAGCAGAGGTCCTATCCCACCCATAGCCAGTAGGCTAAAGGTGCTTTTATTTTTTATTTTATTTTTAAGAAAGGGTCTTGCTGAATAGCCCTGGGTAGCCTGGTACTTGCTATGTAATCATGCATCCAGACTGGTGTCGAACTCAGAGCAATCCTCCTGTCTTTGTCTTCCAAATGCTGGCATAATGTATGTCACCACACCTAGATCTGGACTCACCCTTTCCATTTCTATGTTATTTCATGTTGGGACATTTTGCCTGTGCACGTGTATGTGCACGACTTTGATGTCTGGTACCCAGGGAGGCCAGAGGAGCTCATCTAATCCCCTGGAACTGGAATTACAGATGGTTGTGAGCTGCCATGTGAATGTTGGGCATAGAATCTGGCATAATGCTCTTAACCACCGAGTCATTTCTCCAGCCCCAACTTCACTTTTTGTAAAAATTGAGGCAGCTATGGTAAGATACTCAATAAGCTGTGGTAAATTTCGCCCTATTGTGTTTTCTTCCCATATTTTTAAGCATATCTCTCCCTCCCTCCCTCTCTCTCTCTCTCTCTCTCTCTCTCTCATTTATTGGGACCTAGAGAGATAGCTCAGCAATTAAGAACCCTCATTGCTCTTCCAGGGGGCTCAAATTTCAATTCCCAGAATCCCAGGGTGGCTCCCAGTCTATAACTTAAGTCCCAGAGAATCCATTGCCCTCTTCTGGTCTCCATAGGCACTGGGCATTCATGTAGCGTGCGCGTGCGCGCGTGCGCACGCGCGCGCACACACACACACACACACACATATACATATACATACATACATACATACATACAGGCAGGCAAAACACTCATATACATAAAATCTAAAAACATTTCTCCTAAATTTTTATGTGTACTCGAGAGTGCCTGCATGTGTATATGTATACCATATGCATGCCTGCTGCCAAGGAAGCTATACAAGGGTTGAAGGTCCCTGGAAAGGGGGTTGCAGGCAGGCAGTTGTGGGCTACCATGTGGGTGCTGGGAACTCTACAAGAGATGCTGAACAAGTGCTTTTTTAGGGGGTGTGGTTTTTGAGACAGGGTTTCTCTGTGTAGCTTTGGCTGTCCTGGAACTCACTCTGTAGACCAGACTGGCCTCAAACTCACAGAAATCTGCCTGCCTCTGCCTCCTGAGTGCTGAGATTAAAGGCGTGCATCACCACTGCCCTTAACTGCTGAAATCTCTCCATCCTTTGAGTATTCTCACTTTATTAAAAAAATGATTTTATTCATTTATTATTTATTTTATTTGTATTTATATGTATACATGTGCATCTCTTTGTTTATAGGCACTAATGTGTGCAAGTGCCTGTAGGAGCCAGAAGAGGGTTTTGAACACCCAGGATCTGGAGTTACAGTCAGTTGTGAGCTGGTCAGTTGTGAGCATGACCAAGGCAACTCCTCTACAAGAAAACACTTCACTAAGGGCTTGCTTACAGTTTCAGAGGTCTCTAGGTCGATGTTCTTCCAGGCTAGCATCTGCATGCCCTCTGATCCACTTGGCGACACTACTACCATATCTGGGATTTGGTGCTCCTTCTTGAGTTTTCTTTCATTTTCACCTTTTCATCAATCCACAAATTCTGCTCACCCAAGACCAGGGGCTGCAAAGAGCACTCAGAAGATCTAAAGAGAAGACCACATGAGAAACACGATGAAGGCCTTTGTATAGAGAAGGTCAAAAGGTTCCCAAAGATAAACAGTTAAGGAGACCTCGTTCAGGAAGCTGCACAGCCAGTCTCCCACATGCCTGCACTTGTGGCTGTTTCCTAATGCATTGCGTCCATAAGATTAGCACTAGCAAGCGTTATCGATAGCTTGGTACATATGCTTGGTAAAACTTCGGGGGCAAGACTTTAAGAGGGCAGCCCAATCACCACCAGCACCAGCAACACTGCCGCCATGACAAAATCCCCATAGATCCAGAGGTATCACCTATATGTCCTCTGGCAATGTGTCAAAATATAGGAGAGGATCTCAGAGAGCCTCACTAGGAAACCTACCAATGCCTGCATCAGACACAGTGCAGCATTTGAAATAAATGGTTCCAAACCAAGAGGAGAGGCAATCAGTCTCCTGAGTTATAACCCCATGTGGTGACATTTTATCTGTGTGCCCCAATAAAGCTTATCTGAGGATCAGAGGAAAAAGGCAGCCACTATAGTAAGCATAGAAGTCAGGCAATGGTAGTATAGGCCTTTAATCCTAGCATTTAGGAGGCATAGATCCATCCAGATCTCTGTGAGTTCAAGGCCACACTGGGAACAGAGCACACACCTTTATCCAACACTAACCATGGAGGTCTGGAAGTCTGCACAGACAGACAAGAAGTGACATAGTTGGGCAGAAAGAGGAAGTGATAGAGCTGGGCAGAGAGAGGAAGTGAGATGGCAGGGACAGAAAGGCATATATATAGGTGTGGGTTTACAGGAAGTGGGTCTCTTTGGAGGCTGAGAAGTCAGTAAGGTGAGGTTGGCTGTGGCTTGTCCTATTCCTCTGCTCTCTCAGTTTTCACCCCAATATCTGGCTCTGGGTTTTTTTTTTTTATTAATAAGACCATTTAGCAAGTCATCTTACAACCCTAGACCGATGAAGACCTGCCCTGTGATCTAGAAATTTTGGGGCCAGTGAGATGGCTCAGTAGCTAAAGGTACTTGCCACGCAAGCCTGGTGATCTGACTTGGATCGCTGAAACCTACACACAGGTAGAAGAACCAACTCCATAAAGTTCTCCTGTGAGCTCCACATGCTCACCATGACACCCTCCCCATCATACAGACACAGACATACAGAAAGACAGACACACACACACAAATAAAATAAAATTCAATTTAATTTAAAAATTAGAAACTTTGGGGGCTTCAGCAGCTTTCCTAGCTCCCAACATACCCCTAACTATTCTAAAGAAGAATGTTTTCTACAACTTAACCTTGTTACTGTCAGAGGGGAGAATACCTCAGTGTCCCTAACTTGCTAATAGCTGGGCTTAAAGTGAGCTACATTGCTTCTAGTAGAACCATAGGGAATCATTGTGCTAGATCAGTGCTTCTCAGTCTTCCTAATGCTGTGACCCTTTAATACAGTTCCTCGTGTTGTGGTGACCCCCAACCATACAACATTATTTTTGTTACTACTTCATAACCATAATTTTGTTACTCTTATGAATCTTAATGTAAACATCTGTGTTTTCTGATGGTCTTAGGTGACCCCCTGAAGGGATTGCGACCCACAGGTGAGATCCACTGTGCTAGAATGTGTACTGCAGTCATAATCCCAACCCATATCCTTTGCTGCACCAAGACCTCCCCGTAGGCTTGACTGAGTAGAATACAACAGAGCTAATAATGTAGTACCAGTTTCCACCTAGGGCCTTCAGGCCCTGCAAGCTTGCCTCCCTGCCTCTTGATAATGGTCAAGAGTCGTTCTACCAGCATTTTTTTGAGACATGGGTCTCACTGTGTAGCCCTGATTGTCCTGAACTCATTATGTAGACCAGGTTGGCCTTGAACACCCAGAGATCCACCTGCCTCTGCCTCTCAAGTACTGAGATTAAAGGTTTGCATCACCACATCTAGGATCTTCCATCATTTTTAAGCTTTGAAAAAATGCACTCTAGCTGGGCGGTGGTGGCCCATGCCTTTACTCCCAGCATTCAGGAGGCAGAGACAGGCAAATCTCTGTGAGTTCGAGGCCAGTATGGTCTACAGAGTGAGATCCAGGACAGGCACCAAAACTACACAGAGAAACCCTATCTCAGAAAAACAAAA